TTCAAGGTGCTGCCGCCCTTCACTTCCTTCTAAACTAGCAGGCCAATCCAGAGATTTGTGAAAGCAGCAGAGGGAAGATCAAGAGGTGGAGGGGAAGGGGGTAACAATTTGGCACTGTATAAAGAAGGCTTTATGTAGGAACACAGGAATCTGCCTTCTGCTGAGTCAAGCCCCTGACTTGTACATAGGATGAGTGGTAGTGGGGACAGGGGTAAGGGACTTAGTGGTCTATGTCTATTATTACAGTCCAATATTGAGACCACATGACAAAAAAGAGAGTCAACAAATAAAAGTAAGATGGATAAACCAAGACCTAAAGAAGAATCTATTGTGATGAATACAATATGGTTATTCTCATATAATAAATAAACTGAACAAGATACTTAGTTTGCTATCCTGAAGCCCTAGCCATACATACCATCAGGTGCCTTCTCCGCGCTTCAGTCCCTCTACAAAGTTTGGGCCATAACCAAGTCCTTTGTCCAAGACCAGAAATGTCCCTTTTGCTCTGTTATTCATTGTACAATTGTTTTTTTACCCAAATTTTTGCAGTTCTTCTCCTTTTGTATTTCAGATGAATTTCAAAGTAAGACACTATGTAGAAATCCTTTTACAATGATTTTCAGACTAGAAAAAAAGGGTGGGTTGGAAATCTTCAGAGGGAAGGAAATTAAAATATCTGAAAATTAAGCCTTCCACAATTCAAACTATATAATATGTTCAAGTACACCACCTTTCAGTTAAGTGTTTAAGAATAAAATCTCAAGTTATAAGAAAAGGTGCAAAAGTTTATTCTAACACCAGTTGTTCCATAGACATTTATGTCCTTGCTATTGTGATTCTGAAGAAGATAACAATAAAATGGACAATGTCTTTAAATAATCTGCAAAAAAAAATCTCATAGTTGAAAATGATCAGTACTATCTGCACGATGGGAGGTATTCTTCCTTTTTCTTTTTTAAAAATGTCTTGTAGCATCATGTTGGTAAAATATTACTGAACTACGTATTTTTATCTACGTGCCCAAACATATATTAGTTTGTAGACAATTTATTGGGATTGGCATAGAAAAATGTACAAAAATGTACTGTTATTCATCAAATAAAATATTACTTTGCTGGTAGGTTTTCAACTTGATATGCGACACTTTAGTAATAACAAAGCCTCAAACATCATTTTTTTAAATAGATTTTCAGTTATCACAAATAGATTAGTATAACTTCATACATGTTTATTTGGCAGTTATTTAATTGGGATAACTCATCAGAAAATGTGCATAGCCCTACAACCTTATATATATGTCAATTAGAAAGGCAACAGGTATTGTGAGCTGAGAGCTGTAAGACAGAGAAGCCTTTAGAATTGCTTTAGAGGTTGCTAAACTGATCTATTTCTGCCTGTGTTCTCAGAAAGGAGTTTTCAGTTTGTTAGTTTGAATCTGCTTCTGATAATATCCTGGACAGTGGAGAAGAAAGATTTTCTAGCCTGAAAAGTCCCAGAAAATCCTCTAGATCAATGTTTTTGCCTGAGCTTGTGCAGAATGATTAATGAAGGAGACCATTAGACGTTTGGAAAGCCTTAAAGCAGTGTTTCTCAACACCTTGACAATTTTAAGGCATGTGGACTTCAACTCCCAGAATTCCACAGCCAGCATTGACATGGGAGAAAACCCGAATAACCAAAGACCTACATATGTGTGTGTGTGTGTTTTCGTAGATGGCAGCTCCGATCACACTTTGCTCGCACAAGCACGAAGCCGAAGACACCAGCCTGAATATGACAAGTGGGACCTTGTCGAAACGTCGCCAAGATACTCTCAATCTTACATGGGAAAAGACCCGAATACACCAAGACCTGCATATATAGTCAGCTCGATGCAATCCAGGAAAGGAGGGGCAACGATCGAGAATTCCCACTACCCCCGCAATGTTAAAACGCTTGCAAAAAGCTAAGAGAGCGATAGAAATTAAAGCCCAGAATCCCTGCATCATGAACACCGGAGATATCCCAGTTGGTGTGCAAGGAGACACGATAGATAAAGATGGGGAGAGTTTGTCAAACCTGACACCTCACCGGCGCTCAGAAAGAAACAAGATGACCGATTCAAGGGGGAAGAAGCGATCCCCCCACTCCGCATCGTCAGCCGATTCCAAAACATATGGAGCGTGGGACTGCGCCGTGCATAACAGCAAGCTAGCGGACGCTCCGGAAAGTAAGGAGAAGAACGGGTCCAGACGGAGAGGTGCGCGAGAGGGCGGAGCTAATGAGATCAGCCTGCTGCGCCTCGTACCGGCAACACCCATGGACTCCAAAGACTCCCGTCATACACACGCAGGAGCGAGAGGTGTCGGAACGAAGAGGAGAGTAAGGAAGGAGCGTTACGGTGCTCAGGAAGATCGTAACTCCACCCCCAGACCAAGACCTCGGACTATAGCATACGCGACAAGAGCGCAGAGGATAAAAAGGAGGGGAAGGGTGTAGTAATCAAAGATAATTACAACCATGAGACCACCCCCACAGAAAAACAACCTATCGAGCCACCCCACCCAGTCTGGAACACTGTGCATGACCATCTTGACGACAGTTGGGTACGAGGGAGGGGCGTTAAGGACGAAAGGAAAGATACTCATAGAGAAAGTGACTGGGTGAAACGTGATTGGGGAAAAGAAAAGGACAAATGTAAATTACCACTCGAACTCGAAAGGGGGAATGGATTGAGGGATAGAGACAATCGGAGAGACGAGGATTTTACATCACCTACCTTAGAATCCAAAGAAAAGAAGCCAGGTTCATAAAGGTAGATGAAGATACACATGCAGCTAGGAAGGACAGAAAGAAACGAACCACCGGAGCACAATCTAACCAATTGGGTCCAGTGACAAGATCGAGGAGCCGAGTGCAGACCTCGATCTGCCTATAAAATGACTCTCTTACACCCTGGCGGCTCAGCCCTGATGATGCCGGCAGGTGACGGCGAAAGCTTGGCGTTTTTAAATTAAACTTTTATAGTTTTAATTAATACCTTGGTGTTCATTTTATTATATATATATATAAATTTATCATAGCAATTCAGTAATAGCAGTTCAGTAATTGATGGGGTTATCCTATTAGGGAGTTTTATAGAGCAGATACTTCTTCACCTTCATGTATCAGTCCTTTCAGATATTAGCAGACTGAGGCTAATGGCTCCACAGCACAGCCTTGTAATGTAGGCTTTGTGCCAGAGTAGAGGGACAGTGAGATGAGGAGACATCCATCCCTCCAATTCTCAGCTATTCTGCAGCTGCTGCTGCTTCCTCAGAGCTGTCACGGCCCTGCTGCTCCTGCATATGCGCTCTGTGAGCCAGAACAACAGGTGAAACCACATAGCTGACGATCCATCAGCCTCGCCAAATGCCACAAGCAAATTTTACTTCATGCTGGACCGCCTTACTGTCTCCCCAGACTTGCTCTCCAGATTTTACTCTCAGGGCACAGAAGAGTTTCTATGGAAATTTATTTTTCTCTTTCAAATGTTGGACATAAAAATCATGTTTTTTTTAATCTGTTGAAACTGCCACACAAGCCAAATTGAAGAACATTTGGGATAAGAAGCAGCAATATTACAATTATATTTTTCCAAGCTGATTTTTGGCTAAGGTCTTTATTTTTTTGTATTTGTTAAATGGATATTCTGCCTTTTCCTAAAATCTAGAAGTAGCTTGCAAGCAGGCTAGAATCTAATTCTGAGATAGTTGGGCTGAGAGTGACTAGCCCAAAAGTAGCCAGTGAGCTTTCATGCCTAAGACAGAACTAAACTTTGATTATTGTAGTCCTAATTCCTTCAAAGGTATCACTAGAAAACACTGGTTTTCCTCAAAACTACTTGACTACCTTTACAAAGAGCTTTTCTAAATCCTACCATCACCTTTTCATCAAGCCCAGTAAATTTTGGAAATATATCCATTAGACCATGGGTATCAAACTTGACCACGTCATGTGACATATCATGATGTATCTAGACATTTTTGCCTTTGCGGAGCTGGGATGGACATGGCCTGTGTGGGCCCATAGGCCACAGTTTGACACCCTTGTGTTAGACTAAACTCCCTTCCCCTTTCTGTTATCCCCTTGCCCTACAAGCTTTGATGAGACTAAGTGTTGTGATTGATTACATAATAAATGAGATAATGCAGTAACCTAAGCCAGCACTGGGCAACCTTTTGATGGCTTAAAGCTGCCCTTATATTCAGGGGTTTAGAGATGCAAAGATGGTGGAATTATATCATACAGGAGCCTCTGAGAACCTTTCAGACACTGGCAGGTGACGAAGGAAATAGCAAACAAGCCTAGTGCTGATCTTTAGAGAATGTTAGGTTCATTTTGTTATTTTACTTTTAAAATGCATTTTAAACTTTTTTTTGCCACAGTATATTGCTTATACCCAAATCATCTTCATGGCCACCTGCTTCCCTTGGATTATTTAAATTGTCTAACTGCAGTACCGCTTCTGTGCTTTTCAATTTCTTTTAACCTATGTGTGTGCAGGTAAATATTTCCTTAGAATTTAGACCTGCTTTAAGGTTAATTTGTTTGAGGAAATTAAGATAAAGACTCTCTCACAAAAAGCTTGATCCCTAGTCCCAACATGAACATGTCCATGTAATTTTCACCTAATCTTTTCAATACAGCCTCATATATTTTTGTGTATTCTGAGAATATAAATGCTTAGTGAAAGAATTAATAATCACAACTTTAACTAAATGTTTATTTTGCTGCTTAAGATTATTATCATTTATTAAATTTATGTGTCGCCCCTTTCACAATAAAGTGATTCTGGACGGCAAGGCAAGATTTCAACGACAGAAAAATCTAATATAGAATTGGCCAGGTTCATAAATTGTGAATAATTGCAGAGACCTATGCTTCTCATTGAATTTAGGGAAGCAGCAATTGCAAATAGATGATTTAGGGTATCTGGATCAGCAAATGTCTTCTTTTCACTGTATTTTTATTTTCAGAGATAGAGAAATGTGGCTTTTTCTACCTCAAGTGCAAGATATAATCTGTTTTCAGAAGGTCACTTCCTGGTCCACTTCAAGTTGCAAACTCTCTCGACAAGGGCATCTGCAGGGCTGAATGTTAGTATCTGCCAGATGGGAGATTTGGGGCTGCAATGGAAGACTCATGACATGTACGTACAAAAATGTCATATGCAACCTTTGGTCCTGACACCTTCTTGCAGAAGAAGCCTGTTTCAGAGAATGAAGGATTTTTTTAAAAAGCCAAATAAATTCTGTCTCTTGTCATTAATAGCTTTTTTGCACCATTTTCTGGTAACAAGTGTTCACAGCTGGGTTTACAGTAAACAGTGTAGCTTGGATCTTAGCTTAGCATGATGAATATTCATTCATTATAAATTATATACCATGATTAAACTATGGCATAGGTATGAACCAGGATACTGTGATTTAATCAAATAAAATATGTTATAACATGGTATGGAAACTCTAGCACTAATTTGCTAAGAGAATAAGACTGGAAGGACAAAGGTTGCAATTTTGACTGACCTTGAACCAATTATTGTATCTCAGCCACCTTACTTCTGGAGGATGTCATGAAGATAAAACAGATGTATGCGAGACACAGGTATATTGTTTTGACAATGAATCAATCAATGAATGCATGAAAATAAATATAATAAGTTTATTATCCCACTTGTTTGAATGTCCTGGGCAGAAAGATACATCTCAAATGCCTGTAAGAAACAAAAGAAGGGAGTGGGATTTTAGGATTATCTTTCCTTAGATTCTCTTGATAACTGCAGATCATCAACTTAAGTCCTACTGCACTGAAAGCTTGGCAGGTAGTTATGAGAAAAAATGAGTCTGACTTTTCTTTTGAAGTTATAGAATACAGGTCATCCTCATTTAGCAACCACAATTGGGACCAGCAAATTGGCTGTTAAGAAATGTAGTTTCTAAGTGAAACTGTGACTGTGCTTATCATCTTGTTCCAATTTCCTTACAGACTTGCAAAGGTCGTAAATGTGAGAATGGGTCATAAAATTACCATTTTATCTTTGTAACTGCAAAGATCACTAAACGAGGATTATCTGTACCTTTCCTGTGATCATCCGGGCTCATTCCAACTAGCAAATGTTATTAAGAAACATATAAACTTTCATGAACTGTAGCTCAATTCACTAGAAGCATCCAATGAAGTTATTTATACTCACAAAAGTTTAGGCTTTTTGATAAAAATGTGTTAGAAATTGTGTTATCAACTCATGATTTTTTCAATCATAGGCTAATTTGACTCTCCTTCTACAATCTCCCTTGTGATATACACACTTCCTTGGCACCAGACACATTTATTTATTTTCCCAAAGAGAATTTAAACAATACAAAACAAAAATTTCTTTGTTGCTATAGGTTTTGTTGTATTAACGATTATAATAATAATTCAGTTTTCTCTTTCACATAAATATATTAGCATTTTCTGCATTGGGGTTTGTTTTTTATCATTAGAAAGTTTCAATGATTAAGTTATCTGTATGACTGACTTTGGTTTGTTGTTTTGAAAATAGTTGATAAGTGCAGCTAATCACTGTCCATAGTTGAATTCTTCTACCAAAGTCTAGGAGACTCCCCGTAATAGTAAAAACATAATCCTTTGCAAGCTTAATATGAAATAAGTCTTTTTATTTATCAGAGACATTTGTTGGCATGGCCTGAAGATTTCTATCCTGGGCAGGAGTTGGATCTGCAAAGTCCCATCCAACTCTGATTCTATGATTCCTTGTGAATATAATTATTGTAACCGAATGCCCTTTTTAGAACCATGACATTTGTTCTCTGTGTATAAAGACATTAAAGTAACAGCTTCTGGAGTTACTGATCTATGTTAGTTATTGGCTAGGATTGAATTTTGCCCTTTTCTTTTCTTTCTATGGTTTCACCCCCTCTGCACAACTTCAATAAACTTGTATCGAACTCAGTGTTACTAATACTGATTTGAAATAAGTAAAATGATTTCATGCAGCTGAATGAAAACTAATAAGCTGCAGTAGTGTATAAAATTACAAGTGATAATCATTTTCACATTATCTGTCATTCAGTTTTGCTGTGATATATTCGCTGTCTTTTTGGCATAAGTACAACAATTTTCTGTGGGCAAGCACATGGCTGACATTCCAGTGTTTGTAATTATGGTTACATGCACATTCCATAATGGGTGAATTCCAGAATACATGGCACAAATGCCCATATATTTATACAATCTGTACATTTGAAATGTTTGGATATTAATTACATGTTTGCAACACAGAGAAGCAAAGAAAATTCTGAAACACAGCTTATGCACTTGTACACACACACACACACACACACACACACACACACAAACACAAATGTACACATACACATGCACAACAGCATGTAGCAAATGGCTATCAGTTTTCCCAGTATCTATTTGACATTGTACATTTCCACATTTATGTCTTTCCATTTAAACAACTGAATCAAGTGACAAAATCCTGTGTGAAGTTTGAGCCATCAGCATGGTTCTGAGTGCTGTTGTGGAACCACAAAAGCTTGATAGTGGTGACACACCAGCAATGCATTGTCCTCTATGGATATTGGTATTATTGACAAAGTGGCATACTGACTTCTTTCTGATAAAAAACATAGCAGAGTAGCCCCATTGTGAAATAGGCAGATAATAATAATAATAATAATGATGATGATGATGATGATGATGACAAAAAAGTCTGGATAGTGGGCATGGCAGTGCCTGGAGACAGCAGAATAGATGAGAAAAAATGGAAGAAGATAACAAAGACCTACAAATAGAAAGACTGTGGCAAAAGCAAGCAAGGGTAGGACCAATAGCAATAGGCGCCTTGGGTGCAATCCCAAAACAACTGGAGCACCACTTGAGCAGCATTGGCACTGACAAATTCACCATTAATTAATTGCAAAATTAATTAGTTCCTTACTAGGAACTGCTTCCATCCTGCATGGTATTTATAATACCATCAAACATCCACATCTGCCTATCTCAGGTCCTTGGTAAAGACTTGATAGGTAGACAAAATACCAAATCCAGTCTGAACATCTGGTTGACTGTGCGATGATCCATAATAATAATAATAATATCTCCTAACCTCTGCTATGTCTATTCTAATCAAAAGGCCTAGATACTGCGCTTAGGCCAATATTTTGCCATTATTTCAATAATCTTCCATTATTTTAATATTTTCCAGCTGAACTGATATGCAACACTTTTCGGTTACTATACATGTTAACTGCCCTTTAGGGTGAATTGAAGCATGAGTGGGTTGGTCTTCTCTCCCCATCTTTTTTTTTTTAAATTTACTATTACAATTTTCAGGATTCTTTAAAAAATATTTTGATAATTTGCTTTCTGATTTTCACTGGTCCATTTCTGTTATTTAAATAGGGCAACCAGTTCTGACAGTATTTATTTTATCCTATTCCTTCAAAATGAGAAATTTCAAAATCATTAATAATTGGGAGATACCAACATATCTTTGAAGCCACATAATTGAACCTGGAAGTTTTCTGGTACAGTTATCATTGCAACTTGTGCAGTAAAGTTGTTACATGTTTATAATCAAAACTATTTAAAAATAGTCTTGCATATTTATATATAAAAAAACCAAAATAATCCCGTGTTTCACAAAGTTAACAAGCATTTTGTAGAAATAGCAAAAAATCTGGACATCCAATGATACAGAAAACTCTTTGCTTCCATTTAGTGATTGTCAGAATTTTCACAGCCCAGTTTTCTTTTAAAAAATATAAAGGGCCAAAACCATAATGCTATCACAGACTTCTCTGTGAAAGAGATCTAGAACCTTTTCAGGTTAGTAAGAGTAGTAGGATACTTTTGGAAACCATGAGATGATATAAAGAGCTCAAGCTACCACCATAAAGAGTATAGGTATCAGAGTTTATTAATTCAATTGATATTCCAGTGAAGGAATGCCCATACTAGGAACAGAACTTTTTGTAAATAAATATGTAAGTAAATAGACTAGTTTGGTCTTATGTTGAAGACTCCAGGCTACAAACCAGAAGACTGTGAATTCTAGTCCTGCCAGACTAGATGACTTCGGGCCAGTCATTCACTCTCAGCCAAGCTCACAGGATTGTTGCTGTGTGGGGAAGATAGGATGAGGAAAGAGCATTAGGTATGTTTGCTGCCTTGTGTTATTTATAACAACAAATCTTAAAAATAAACAAATAATCGACTCTTCTTGAATAAGTATGCCCTCAAGAGTGGGAGCATTGCAAAGCAATCCCTTATGGCTTAGCCTTGGGAAGAGTTCTAAGAATTCAGGCTAGAAAGACAGCAGTCTTGATGTGGTGAATTATGTACTTTTATTAGTGGTTGCTAGAGTTCTTCATTCATAAAACACATATTTAGATTTGGTAGAACCACCAATTACCATTGGTGTGATGATTAAAGGTCTGCCCAATTAAGATGGCACTTAATGAAATTGGCTGAGGTTGCTGTTCTAAATTACATGTTGCTCTTTTCATTCCCAGGAAGGCATTCTGATAGCTATATGCAACACAATTTTTCTTAGTTATAACTTCTACATATAGAACTTATATAAATGTATTCAGAAAAATTGCGGGTTTTGTGGTTTCATGCTAAGGTTATACGTATGAAAGCTTTGGTTTTGATTTCATGGGACTATCTGAACAAAACAAAGCAGCTGTTCTGCATATAAAAATGAACTTTCCATCATTGTTGGCAATAATTATAGTGATATAAGAAATCTGATTAAACAGTTGCCATTTATGATCAGGACCAGCTGTAATAAAGGAATTGCTCATATGATGATTCCCCACTCCCTGTCCAATGGGGCAGCAGTTATTTGTGTGTGTGTATATTGTGACCTTTTAATGTTGAGTCACACACTTTTCCTCTTTGTCTAAAAGATTATTTTTCAGAATTGGTAACTTTAATATGTATGGACATATACGATATACTGTAGGTTCGCACATCCTAAAATTGCCAAGTTTGAAAAATAATATGCTATATTAGAAAACGATGAGAATATTTGTAGGTCAGGTTGTAGGTTTTGGCAGAGGTCTGTTTTCTGAGCTTGTGGTTTAGCTCCCGGACGTTTCATTACCAAACTAA